TGGTACTCAGCCTGTAAGCCTTAAATTCAGATGGTTTGTTCCATTCCCAGCTCTGCCACTTACCCTCTTGGTGAGCCTGAATATTTCCTTATACCTGCAGTGAGAGTAATCATTAACAATATTTGAGGCTAGAGGTGTAGCTCAGTGGCATAGACCCTATGCCAAGTGCTGTACAAAATAAAGCAAAACAAAGTAAACAGGGAATGGTGAGCTGGCTAAGAAGGTAAAGATGCTTCCACCAACCTGATGACCTAGATTAGATCCCTGAAACCCACATAGTAGAAGAGTCAATTTCACCATAAAGTTGTCCTCTGACTTCTATAAACACACACACACACACACACACACACACACACACACACACACACACACACACACACACACAATGGCACATGTACCCTCTGCCACCCTCTGCAAATTTAGAGAGGATAAAAATAACTATTCAACCTACCAAACCCATGAAAACTTGTGGCAATCCGATTCTTTGCAGTAAGATACACCATTTGTGACCAAGCTAATGCCGTCTTAGATTGCATTCATAAGCATACAGGACTCAGATCTGAGTTTGAGTTATCCGTTCTGTAGTACTCTGTGGCTGAGATCACATTAAAGCAGTATTGTATGCTTTTGAGAGTTGATGAGGGTTCGGAAATGCCAGAGCACTCTGCACCTCTCCAACCTTTCTATTATCATCACTGTGTTTTTCAGTCTCTGTGCCCAACTGTTTTATTTCTTGATTTAGTTGACCTTCTTGAAAATTCTAGGGTTTACTTTTCTGCCTATCTTCCTGCAAATGGAGCTAGACTTTTGGAACCATATCCAGTCCACTTGACTCTAATTTTTTTTTTAAATGAAAAAGAGGAGTCTAGTGGTTTATAGACCTTGTAATCAAGGTTTTGTGTGAACCTTGGGGGAAACCCACCTCCTTTCTCCCATCTCCTTTTCTTCTCATTGGCTTTAGCTTCAGTATCAGACAGTCTTTTCCTTCACGGGAGAGTGCTCTGCTGACCTTCTGTTGCTCGCAGTGTCCTTTGAGACCGCTTCTATTTCTTATTCGGCTCCCTTTGCCTCTAAGACAGCCCTCATAGGTGTATTCAGCCAGCCTTGTCCATTTGCTCCATATCCTCAGTAAGAGCCAGACCAGATGTCTTAGTTTTATCGTGTTGCTAGAACAAAATTGGAGTCCGTGAGTAATGCATAAAGAAAAGAAGTTTGCTTGGCTCGTGATTCAGGTGGCTGGAAAGTCCAAACAGCTTGGCAGATGTTTGGCAAGGACCCTCTTGGCTGTGTCACAACACAGCGGAGAAGTGGAAAGGAAAATGGCCACATGCCCAATGGGTGTGTAAGAGCAAGGAAGGAAGAGACCCAGGAAGGTTAAGCTCGCTCTTTTGTACTAATCCATTTGTGAGTGAATTAGCACAGTCTTTTGAGAACTATATTAACCCTTTCAGAGAGGGCTTTTCCCATTACTTAATCGTCTCTTTAGAAACCGCCACCCTACCCTAGTACACTGGGCGCCAAGCTACCATCACACAAAGCTTTGAAGGATAATTCCAGAACCTTTGCCAGCCTCCATAAGAGCAAAGCTGACACCTTCTCTAGAGAGTAGCTGTTCGGGGTTAAGGATGCAGGTCATCCAGTGGGACTCCAGATTGTTGCCTGCAGATGGCTGGCCCTGTGGTAAAAAATCATGATGTGCTAAATTCTAGGCTTTCTATATTTAAAAAGCTACTCCTAGGCTTTCACTGAAATACATTGGGGACGCTGGGCTCCATTTCCAAAGCTCAGCTGTGGTTTTATGTCAAGACAATTCAATCTAAGAGGCTCTCCGAGGCCACACTGAAAGGGAGAAGCCTCAACAGTCATTGAGATGGGCTAATCATGTCTGCTTTAATCAAATCAGAGAGCAGTCCCACTCCAGAGGAAAATAATTATGTCTGTGTATTTATGTGTCAGCTGCTTTCCTCCTGTCCAAAAGAACCTGGGATTTGCCTATTATAATAACAACTGCTCTGGACTATGGCTACACAGACATCCTTAAAAACGGGGCTATGTCTCCATGTGGCACTAGGACCATAGCAGAACTTGCTAAATAGTTCTCTATTCCTGGACAATTGGACTCTCAGCCATTCAGCCTGCTCTACTGAAACCAGAATGAAAAGGCCACAGAAAAGAGGTTTAATATGAGCCAGGATCTCACAGGATTCTTAAATTGGGGTTTTCTGTTATATTTGCAAAGAACGATGTGTTCTGGTCCTCATCCAGGGTCAGGAGTGACGCATGCATTGGCAACTAGCCCCCCATGACCCAGAAAGTCAGTGTGCGGCCTTCAACAACAATTATGAAGCCAGGACAGGATGCCATCTTAATTCTTGATGTGAGATCCCCAAGATGAGAGCACTGCCAGCTGAGGCCAACATTTTGGTTCTTTGTATTGATAAAGCACTCACACACACTACCTACTTGGAATCTGAATGTTAGTGCTGGAAGAAAGCTGAAAGGTCCATCTAGTTCTGTGTTCCTCAACACAAACTCTGCTAGACAAGAAAGCTCTAAATTCTCCACAAAGGATCAATTAAAATTATATAGATGTAATATAAATTTATTCAAATTTCTTAATAAACAGAAATCTTTTCAAACTCAACTCTCATTTCTCTTCCCACTCCTGTAAATAGTTGGCTCATATTAAAGATATTTTATTTTAAAATGAGTTTCATAATCTTATAGATTTTAAGACATGAAGGTTTTCAGAGGCAAAACAAAGATCTTTGTCCCGAACCAATGCCAACTGAATGTCAGAAGACTTTGAGTCGACTTCAGTCTCTTTTGTTTCCTCTATAGAGAGAGAAGGAGAATAATGCCACAGACCATTTAGTCAAGTCCAAAACCAGCATCTCTGGACACTCACACAAAAACCATTGGGACACAAATATATATACAAAAGGAGGAAATGTCAGGGAAGTCTAGTGCTCCATCCAGCAGGTAATAACTTGTCTTCACCACCTGCTGGAGTTCATTGTACGCATGCTCATTTTATTCACTCTTCTGTTTCCCAATCTCCATCACTAGTATGGAGTAGCAGTCAGGATATATTTCAGTACAACAGAAAAGCCTACCTAACAGAGGTCTTTACCATGAATTTGCCTATTTCTATTTTGCATATAATCTGAAGGTGGGCAGTTATCAGGTCCACTGAACTGCTTAAAAAAACCCAGTGATGACTTTCCAATTACATAATCCTCAGCCTAATACCTCTGTCCTTAGGTTTGCTACCTCATGATCTCAAGACTCAGATGGCACCCAAACATGTTAACATACCAAACTGGAAACAACCAAGGGAAAACAGGGCATCTTTTTCTGTGGGTCTCTGTTTTATAGAAGCTAGTACTTCTCAGTATCCCTCTGCCATGATTTTCTTATATCTATTTGCTCAGAACTATGGTACAAGGTATCAGTCAATTGTGAAGGAAAGCTGAATTACTCTAGTTGCCTTGGTGTAAGCATGATCTATCCCTGGAGCCTGCATACATTGCCACTGAACAAACTATGGTTCTGTTACCAAGGAGCAAAGGGAAACAGCCTTTGTCTAAACACCCGTCTCCACCCTGCACCTGACATGAAAATGAGAATGCTCCTTCCTGGAAGAACAGTCAAGAGCCAGTGCCCTGCTTTCTTTCAACGGTAAGAAGCCATGAGTCATTTGTATCTAAAAAACACAAAAAGGCACAGTGACCTGGCACATCCTTCTAAAGACCCTCTTAAAGGTACATGAGACCAGAGGCAATACTACTCAAGGCCAGGGCCCACTGTCTTCCCTGTAGTAAAGGAACTAGCCCTCTGTTCTCTCCCACCACCTCTGAATCTCCAGAAAGAAGATCTAGAGAGTAGTTAGGACATCCACGTGTCTCATGATTGCATTAGGTATTTTTTTTAGATCTTTCAAAGACCTACAGAACATGGGATTTAAAAGGTTTTAAAAACTTAGACTTTTACTCAACAGTAAGACATGTCTGCTTCTGGCAGCACCAATTACTTCAAGAGAATGATGGGCATTGAAGAGGCTCCTTATGGAGTTTGCTAGCCATTTGGGCAAGAAACTGCTCTTGTCTGGACTGCTTGAGGATATGCTGTATGAACTGGACAAGCAGGATTCACAGAAAAATGGCTGCTGAACTTGCCTAAAGAAGGCAAGGTGATCCTTCGGGGTTCCTGTTTCATGAAAGAATCTGCCAGACATTCTGTAGGACACAGAAGAAAGCAACTGATAACTTTGTCATTATAAGGCAAAACAAATATTCAAATTTCCTGCTTCATGGAAAAGTCTGTCTGTCAGACACTATGAGTCTGTAGGCTGAAGATGGATGCCCCAACATTACAGAAGAACTTTGGGTGATTATCCAGGCAGCAAGATGCCTCTGTCAATTCTAGAGATTTGGAAGTTGCTTACAATGAACTTTCTGTTTACATAGGTAATATTATATACTTCTGGGGTTTTTGCTTGAGTTGGAGACAGATAATTACACTTACAGTTTTCCTTAGTTATGATAAAAGATAGATATGAAACTTTAGACCCACAATGAAATATCATAACTGTAATTCTTGCATGATACCTGTTTGTTTTATGTAATTTTATTATGTTAAAGTTAAAACCTTCCTTTTTAATTAGACAGAAAAGGGGAGGTGATGTGGGATGTCTTTCTGTATATGTGATGCTTTTATTGATTAATGAATAAAGCTGTTTTGGCCAATGGCTTAGCAGAGCAAAGCCAGGCAGAAAATGTAAACAGAGATGTAGAAAGAAAGTAGGCAGAGTCAGGGAGAGGCCATGTACCTGTTGAAGGATACAGATGCCCAGAACCTTTACTGATAAGCCACAGCCTTGTGGTGATACACAGAATAACAGAAGTGGGTTAATTCAAGATGCAAGAACTAGGTAGAAATATGTCTGAGTCATTAGTCAAGCAGTGTTGTAATTAATATAATTTCTATGTATTATTCAGGTCTGAGCAGCCGTGAAATGACTGCAGTCTCTGCCTACACTGAAGTGAGCTATTTCTCTTATATTTTATATATTGGGCCATCAAGGCTGGAATGGAAAGGTAAGCTGTTCAGGCATTTTCCTGTCAGTTCCAGAACATCCCCATCAGAGACCCCTACTTCCTCCACTCAATTAGACAACCACTGGCTCCCAATATGTCCAAGGTAGCTATGGCCTACCCACCCTAGCCTCCAGCTATTGCCAAAACTGTTATGTCCAGCAGTTGGTTACCAACGGACTGCAGGCTCTCTGTGACTTCTAAAATGTCTCAACCTGACCCTGTTAAAAGTTCTTCCAGAGGTAGGCTATCTCTCACTAAGGCCTCTTAAAACAGCACTGTTGTGTCAAAGACTTCATAGTCTAGCAATACAAACAAAAAACTCACCTCCATAAGACTGGCCTTCAGGCAACTCTGTATGCCACTCTGGGTGGTATCACCACTTGGCAAGTGGCTCTGAGTTGTATAAGAAAGCAATCGGAGCAAGCTAGAGGGAGGAAGCCAGTAAGCAGTGCTCCCCCATAGTCTATCCCTTAGTTCCTGTCCTCTCCCTTCAGGTTAGACTCCAAACTGTAACCCTTTCCTCCCCAAGTTGCTTTTGTTTAGTGTTTAGCACAATAACCCAAGCAAACTAAGGCAGGTCTCGAGGATGGGGGCCCAGGCACAGTCAGCCACATATTTGTGTGTCTAACCCAGGGATTGGCCCCTGACTCTCAGAAGAGACCCTCTCCTGCTCCATCAGTAGACTAAGAAGGAGGGTAAAGTTGTCTTTGCTCAAATGCAGGCTTGAAACAGAGGGATATGATGGCAGCCTCCTCTGTTCTCTGTCAAGAGAGGCATTGAATTGTCCTATGCTCCTCAGTTCCATGGCTGTCTTGGTATTGGTGACATCCTTGTGGTTAGGGCCATTTTCTGTTTTCGATTGAGATCCATCAATAGAGCACACCCAGAGGGCTACACTTCATGCTTCCTCTGCCTCTGTCCAAATACACAAGTGTCCTTATTACAGCTATGCAGCAGCCACCATCTCTGGCTCGTTCTCAGATGTCCTTGGGGTGCAGGAATCAGATATAGCTGAAAGACTTCTGTCAAAGAGCCAAGTAGATAACTATACCTGTCCTCCTTCTCAGCCCTGACGTTAAATTGAGGGAGGCGAATCCTTCCTCAAGCCTTTAGGGCTATATGCTTCTGTATCCTTCCTCTGTCTCCTCCTGGTGTTTCCTTCCTTCTCTCTCTCTCTCTCTCTCTCTCTCTCTCTCTCTCTCTCTCTCTCTCTCTCTCTCTCTCTCTCTCTCTTCCTCTCTTCTCCACCTATCCTTTTGCCAAGCCTTGATAAACAAGAACCAAGGTTGGGAAAATGCTACTGACTAGAATAAGGGCTCAGCTGCCTGTGTGCTTCACAGGCAAAGGTGTCTAGATTATGCTGTAGGCAGGGGATGAGTGCTGGGGTTTGTTCATTTGGGAGAGGCACTATCACCATCTAGGTGTTGGGGGATGAACAGGAACACCAGTCAAATTCCACACAGAAGGTAGAGTGTGAGGTGTATGCCCTTTAGATCCCAGCAGTGCCTGCTTCTACTGCCCCAGAGCCCCTAGGAGGTGACAACTGGAGCTGCCTGCCTGCACTCACACTGAAGCCTTTCCTTCAAGCTCCCCTTGAGTGCCTGCTGCTCAGAACCAATGAGATTCAGAGGCCCCAAGCACAGACTGCTGTTTCCAGCTGTGTGGGAGCCTGAAGACTGTGCTGGTTAGAAAACCTCTGGGATCCTCCTGTCTTTGTCTCCCCAGAGCTGCGATTAGAGGCATATGCTGATACGCCAAGCTTTTCAGGTGGATTCTGGGAACCTAAACTCAATTCACAGCAAGCACCATCCATGCTGAGCCCTCTGACCTCCCCAGCCCCTGAGTATACTCTCACAAATGAGGTGAGGCAGGGATTCTCATCCTAGAGAGATCTGTGGCTTGGTGCCTAAACAATTTAAGTGGGCAGAGGAAACAGCTCTCAACCAGTGTCAGACAGGAAGGTGGTGCCTGCTATGTTCTGATGCAGTTTATCCACACCGAAACTCATGCTGAAGCTCGGTACCCTGCACAGAAGCGGTGGAGAAGACAGTGCGATTCCAATCAATCAGCAGACTAGGAAAGATCCTCCAGGAATGATCCTCCAGGAGTGAAACTGTTCTTGTGACAGCACAGAGCTGGGAAGGAAAGCGGAATTCACAGTGCTTGTCAATCTATTCGGCTGATTATTTACTCTCCTTTGTCTCCCTGCTCTCCCTCTTCCGTGTGCTCCTTCCATATGTGCCTATTTGGCCTCTCTGCTCTCCTCTCAGGAAATTACGTAGCAAGAAGATCCTGGTGCTACTTAGGCTCCATGACTGAGAGCCCAAACACATCCCTTTCCGTTTGAAATTACCAAGACTCTCAGATTTTGTTGTAGTAACCGAAAACAAACTAAAAGAGTGGCTCAAAGACTAACTTGCTAAGTCTCCGGGTGAGGCAACTCTGAAGCACGCTCCCAGTGGCCCCCACAGAACCCCCTGGCATTGCCTGCAGTTGTCCACAGGAGTAAGCTACCGTTCATGCACCTCTTACCTGGCCTTGCAGTGAGAGAGCTGCATTTGAGAGGCAGAAAAGAACTCAGAAATCAAGAGCTATTCTTCTCAGGAGGAAATGGAAGTCTCCTGCATTTAAGAGATTTGCAGAAGTCCTCCAATCCGATAAGCAGAGCTTGGATTAGATCTCTCTGTTACAAAAGACCACAAAACAAAGCAGCACTCCTACTATTTACTGAGCCCCCATCCTGGCTCATCTTTTGAGTGCCTCATTTCATTCCCACGGGCATCTTGGGAAGACTGTTCTTTTGCCCTCTCCTCCAGCGAAGAGCTCAGAAATCCACCCTGCACGTTGAGAATTTATCCAAGGTCACACAGCGTGTAAGATCCAAACCTGAGTTTGTTCATGCCCAAGGAGAAATGGGCTATTGGATGCCACAGCTAGCACGATGGGATGGTGTTAATCCATAGGTATGACTCCTGAATATTTGAGGAGACGAACAATGATTTTATTACTTTCTAGGGAACTTGCTTCTTCTCTACTTACTATCCAACAAGGAACCAGCACAGAAGCTTTTTGAGTTCAGCATGAGAAGAGGAGGAGGGCAAGGAGGAGGAGAATGGGGGAGGGAGAAGGAGGAAGAAAAGGAAGAGGCAGCAGCCAGCGACAGAACCAAAAGCAAAAAGCCAAGAGAGAGTAACTAATCCACCTAATAGATTTCAAAGCACTCTGAATTCTGCAGCATGCCATGGCAGAAACAGGATGCCACCTCTCGTGCTGTGGGGTAGTCTTCCTGGGAATTTCCTCCCAAGCCAGGTAACTGCATTGCAAGGTGTGAGAATGGCTTTCACTAGGGAGCCTCTCCCTCCTAAATCCATGTTCTTTCAGTGTGCTGATGAAGAATTCGTGAGGTGAGGAACTGCCAAAGATTCTAGCACAATTGGAGAGACAATTACAAGGTCTAAAGCAGGCTGCTGGGGCCTGTGGGAGCAAGAAACACAGACATGATGAGTTGCCCAGGGATAAAGATTTCAGCACATGAAAAAGAAGAGATCCAAGGAGAAAGGCAGCAGGGTTTGAGCATCAGCAAAAGAAGAAAATTAAATAGAAGTATGTGGAAGGGGGAGGAGGGAGAGAAAAAAAGAGAATGAACAAGCTGCCTAGATTCTAGGAAGAAGGCTTAATGGACTTGACCAATCCCACAGGGAGACATGGAGCTAGAATGTTCTTTGGGAACTGGGTGGAGATGGTGAAGTTTTTTTTTAATCCTTTTTAAATCATTCTCTGCATATGACCAGAAGCAGTAGCAGCGTCTTCTTCTAAGTCTACTGTGGCATTGCCAGCAGTCCTGGAGGCTGATCAGAGTAATCTGTCAGCATGTCTACCAAAATGCATGTGTGCAAGCATGTTCATATCTGACCACGAATATATAAAATGTATGCTTGTGGTTACTGCTCTCACGATTGAAATTGGGCTTCCATGCTGAATTGCCACACACACCATTGACCACCCAACTTGACAGCCATTGCCAGTGCTAGGGGGATAGATACAGCAGAGCAAGAATGAGCAGCAGATCTGCCCACAGAAAAACCATGAGGAAGGCTCCAGAGCCACTCACTGGGAGCTGGCAGGTCGGGAACCGAAGTGGCAGAGTGAGAACAATGTTGGGAGGCAAAGTGCAGATGCAGGGATGCAGGAAGATTCTGATGTGATGACTGGTGTTGACTGTCAACTTGGCAAAAATCTGGAACCACCTGGGAGATGCCTCTGGTTGTGCTGGTGAGGGATTATCCTGATTATGCTAATTGATGTGTACAAAAATCTTAATTGTGGGCAGGACCGTTCCCCAGGCAGGGCAAAGCGGACTGTATAACCTGGAGGAGAGCTGCGTATGTTATCCTGTCTCTATGCTTCTTGACTGTAGATGCAGCGAAGCCACTCAGAGCACCTGCCAATGTGACATCCCTGCCACCGTGTGAACTCAATGAACCTCTTCCTTAAGTTGCTTTTGTCAGAGTGTTTTATCACAACAACAGGAAAAGCAAAACAAAACAGCAGCAATAACAGAATACTAAGACACATGACTAGAGACTGAAAAGGGGACTGAAACTCAGAGAGGAAAGAGAAAGGGAGAAGGGGAAGATTTCCATAGAGCAAAATATAAATCAGACAGGAACAAAGACACAGACACATATACAACCAACCAGCACACATACACACATAATAGGGCACAGGCAGAGACAAACAAAAGAAGCAAAAAGAGGCAACAGCATGCAGAGAGATGAAATAATGCTAGGCTTTCTTGAGCCTCTTTATTCCCTAGGGAAAGGTGGGTGCACTATCAGCCCATTCTGCAGCCCCATGATGCAGGACAATCAGACATGATAGGGAGTCCAGTCAAAGCAGGAACTCAGTTTATTACTGTGAGCACCCGTGTTAAGAGACACACTGTGATGTAAGGGTACCTCCAGCCAATGAGAGGCAGCCAAAACCTCCCTCTGGCTGGAGGGGCATCTACCTAGTTTTTGCTGTCTCATCCTTACTCAAACTCCAGCAAGGCTCTTTTCTGTTCTACAGGCCTCAAAGTCTAGGCCCTGAACTCGAACTTTTTTTTTCTGTCCTGTAGGCCTCAAGGTACAGGCCCTGAGGTAATTTAGGCCCAACAAAATAAGACACACACACACACACACACACACACACACACACACACACACACACACACACAAATAGATACCAGCAAAGTGAGCAAAGATGGACACAGAACAGAAGAGTAGAATGAAAAGAATGATGAAGAGAAAGACTAAGAAAGACCTAGAGGGGATGCAAAGAGTCAAGAGGGGAAACTGAAGGAGAAGAGGCAGAACTTGGGAGTGCTAGGCCCTGCCAGGAGTTCAGTGATGTGAAAGAGACAGGGGATTCCTCAGAACTCCTTGATCCAAATGAAAACATTTCATTAGAAATTACCTATTTCTTTACCATCCAAAATTAGTGGCGGCACTAACTCATTCCTGACAGGAATAACAGACACTAGCTGCAGCCCAGGTCCTCAGGGCAAAGAGGGAAACCAGTGGATGAGGGAAGCCTCCAAGGCTGGGTGGGCCTCTTGGAAAGCTGTGTTCCTTTGGCCACCGTAGGGAGCAGGGCTACCTTCCTTCCCTCCAGCAGCTTCCTGGAGCCTCCTTCTGTACGACTCTCCCAAGCAAGCTTCTCCAGCCACAGGCTTCCCAGAACACTCACCTGGATGTGCAACCAGCTCATGCAACAGTTATCTGAGCTGCTGAGCGTCTCTGTGCCTATGTGCCCTGGGATCAGCCTGGCGAGACTCCTCCCTGCGGTCCGCCATTAGGGGAAACAACAGTTTCTGCAAATAAAATACAGGGTGAAGAGGAATGGAGTGTGGAGAGGAAATGAAGAGGGAACACTAGAAGGCATACAAGATAATAATAGCAAGTGAACCAGATAGGCTCGTAAACCCAGTGAGATGCCGAAGCCCAGGAGAAAGTCTTAAGCCATGGGGAGTGAGGGAGAAACTCACGTGGTCAGTTGCTCTCTGCAACTGTGGTATGGCTTTAACGATAACATGCTAGGACCCTTAGGAAGGAAGGGAGGAAGTTCTGCTATTCTATACAATCATACTGAGTGGGACCAAGTTAGGCCCAGAAGCTGGAAATGAATCTGGGGGATGGTGGATCTTCAGAGCACATTTGCCTTCTTCCTGAGAGATGCTTCCTGATGACCAGGGGCTAGTGGAGCCCAAAGCTACATAGAAGAGGGTTTAAAGCCTGCTGCCATGCCGTCGATGTCCCTAAGGTTAACGGGACAGAGCAGAGATGGTCAAGGGAGGTTCCTTATTTAGGGATCTAGTGTGCTCCACCCACAGGCTCTGCCAGGCGTTCTTTCCGAGAAGGGCTCCAAATGTCCCTGCCATGGATTAGCCTTCTGGCCTTCTGCTCCCCGTCGACAGCATGTCTTGTCTGTGTCCAACTTAAGCCTACTATTCCACAACAGATGAACACCACTGCCAGCTACACATGTCAATGCAGGGTACGCTCCAGAGAAAGCACATGTAAGATCATATTAACAAGTAGTAGAACCGAACGATAAAGTCTGAAAAGCTCAGACAGTTCTTCTTTCGGTGTACTACTTTATGTTGGTTAAATTGACAGCTCCATGCATGACTTCAAAACCGGGGATCTTTGAGTTTCTATGGGCATTTGAGGCACCCGAAGATCCTGTTAAAATTCAGGTAATTTTTCAAGAACTCTGAGAAAAACACAGAATTAGAAACCTCTAACTTGGCCGGGCGGTGGTGGCGCATGCCTTTAATCCCAGCACTCGGGAGGCAGAGGCAGGCGGATCTCTGTGAGTTCGAGACCAGCCTGGTCTACAAGAGCTAGTTCCAGGACAGGCTCCAAAGCCACAGAGAAACCCTGTCTCGAAAAAAAAAAAAAAAAAAAAGAAACCTCTAACTTGTCTCTGGGTGATGCAGACCCTACTGGTCCATAGACCACTTAAAACAGCAAAGAGCTAATCTCTACAGTTGAGGTGGAATATATCCTGAGGATACCGGGGCCTATTCCTACACACCTATCTCTACATTTACAAATGCTGGGCCCTCCAAGGGCTAGAGCCTGAAGCAGGAAAAACAATGGACTCAGCTTTTGTCTATAGGAAGCAGTAGGTTACAATGGACAGGAGTGCCTTTGGGTCTAAACCATCCTAATCTCTAGCTCCCCTTCCACTATGAATAAACAATTTGGCCTTGTTTAAAGTCGCTTGACTTTCTGGCTCCCAGATGTCTCAGTTGTAAAATGGACACATTCGACATTGCGGGGTTATGGAAGAGAATACAAAGGAAGGAAGTTACAGGTGAGTTTGGCCAATCCCGGAACACTTATTTTGAGCCCTTTCACCTTGACCTTCTTTTAAATGCCAGTTCACGATATCTGAGTCCTGTGCTTAGCAACTCATCCTCTTCCGATCGCATATGCTACCTGTGAACTCTATGTAAAACTAAGCTTTATCTGGCCTGGTGACCGCTACTGGATTATAAGCTTGCTGTCAAATTCTTAGATGGAATATTTTAAATTTAGTTATTACCCACTAAGTACAAATTCAAAGGATGGTTGACTGGGTGCATTGACGAACAGATGGGTGAATGATTGTGTGTTTGTATAATTGAATGGACAGACGGATGAGTGAGTGGGTGGGCAGATAGATGGATTTGAGGATTTATGGATCCATGCAAGAATGGATTGAGCGTGACATATGAATCTGTTGATGCCTAGTCTACCTCCTCTGTGAAGCTTGCTTCCTGGTGGAGTCCTAGCACTTGGCTCAATATCTTTCCTGAAGCCAATAGTCATCTCAAGTTAAGGTGAGAGATACTGGCCAAGCGCTTGGTAAGTTGGTCAGAGAGAGCAATAGCTACAGAAATTTCAGCCAAGAGTGATACCTCTACTTGGTCATTTTAAAGAATCACACACCAAGCTACAGTTCTTCCATCCTGGCAAGAATGAGAGGGCTGCAACTCGTCCCACACTGGTCTGGATATAGAACAAGAGCGAGTGGCGAATATAGGTCATGGGGCTGCTGCTGAGCAGATGAATCTGGTGTCTGAAGGGCCCATCTGAAGGGGAGATTTTTCTAGCTAAACTTCTTACTAGCTGCTGAAAAAACGACCCACTAGGAGAACTGGTGCTCAGGTTCCAAGAGCACCCTGGGACCAAACTTTTACTTCCATACTCCAAATACAGACATGGTTTGGGGGCCAGGTTTACTATTAAACCTGTCCTTATTAGTGGCATCAATGGATTTATTCCAGTAGCAAATAGGTTCCCATTCAGATCTGGGTTCAATGAACAGCTAGCTCGACTTACTAAGGAGGGTGAATTTGGTCCTGGAGCCTTAGGGGAATGATGCTCTTGCTCACTGGAAACATGTGTTCTTTGGGATGAGGATTCAAGATGACATTTACCAGCTTCTTGTGCTCCCTTTCCAGCTTTTTGGTTTGTATTACTAATTGTTACAGTATCGTATTTTCTCTCTTTGATTTTGTGTAATTTCGTTGGCTTTATAGGAGAGTTCAGACTTTGATCAGCCCCAAAGAACAATTGAACTTAGGGGTCTCATCTTTTTTCTCTTTTTTAAGGTGGCCTAGACCCAGCTTCTGTTCAAGGAAAGATCCTCAGTCTTCCCATCTCTCGAGTGAGGGACTGGATCAGATGATGATGTGGCCTCCTTCCAGTTCTCTGGGTCCGTACATCAAGAGGTGTCTGTTTTCAATCCAACTACCCAGCATGTTAAAGCTCCATCATGCTTGAGGCTGAAGCATGAGGAAGATATTACTGAGTGGGAGTGAGAATGTAAGAATTTGAAAGAAAAGCATAGAGTCATTGTGTTTAAGAGTCATGGCACATTTGAATCAAAATGGAGCTTGGAGATCTCCAGAGCTACCAGACTCCTTCACACTGTAAACAATAAAGCTAAAAGAAACTAATGCAATCTTACTTTTTTTCTCCCTTGATAAAATATGTTATTAAATAAAAATTGCAACAAAAGATCATCCACATTTAAAAAACTGTGTAGTGGTTGTACTTAAAGAAAACTCATGTTACTATCTCGTGCTGGGTTCCCACCTGTGATAGACTGTTCCCTATCCCCCCCTGCCCAATAAGCCACACTTTATTAGCATTTACTTCTTTAAGGAATCCTCTCTCACCAACTTTGGGATTGACCATGTTCAGTAGACTTAACACTAGCAAGCAAGACCTGAGCGGAAGTGTCCTTATATACAGCTTTCCCATCTACATATCCGTGCTTTTCTTCTTATACACTGACTACTGGACACTCCCTCCCAGAACCTTCTGGAAGAAGCCCAAGCCACATGGACTAGCACAAGGGCTCTCAACCACAGCCCCAGCTAATGGAACAGGAGCACCATCTTGCAAGCACATGGGGGCACCATCTTGGAAATGGCTCCTCCCCACAATCCTCCTTGATAAATTGTCCCAGAAACTGTGATGTGTAGCAGAGACAAGCCTTCTGCATCAAATATCGCTTGAATTGCATAATCAGGAGCAAATAAATGCCTGCTATTTTTGAAGCCACAGATGTTGAGGTGCTTGGCCACAGAGCGATGGATAACTGGTACACCACAGTCACACTCAGAGGCATGCTTTCTACTTCTCGGGCTTGGCATAGTTCCTAATGGGGTTCTCCACACTGCCTCTATGCATGTCTGCCTCCAATCCTGTTGTTATCGGGAATAGCAACTAAACAGCTTTCCAATTCCACCTTTGCCATAAGAACGGACAGTTGGATTCTCTGTATATGTGTCTTTGTGAGCATAAGTTTCTTTTCTTTCCTCAAATAAATACCTTTTTGCATAGACAAATAAAGGCTGAGGAGTGAGAAAGTGCTGATTTAGGGATAGGTTCCATAGTTTGCTTGCTTATCAGGTGCTTATGGGCTTTGAATGCATCAAGGTCCCAAACCTAAAGGTTAATGTTTTGACACTGAAAATCCATCAGTCAGAGGGTAAGGACGAGGGGACAGTTTGCATTAATTATGTCTGACTCTTAATTTGAATCAATGAAAATGCCAGAATGACTGAAGTGTTTGGGCTGCATCATAATTAGCAAGACTGATATGGGCCTGAACAAAGAGGAGTAGGGGAGGGGGTGACAGTTTGTGACAGTAGGGAACAGGCTGATGAGGCAGGGCTGGAGTCAGAGAAGCCAGCCAAGTATGAGCCTTAGGCAGAGGCAGCTGAGGGGAGACAGCCGAAAGGCCAGGCAGGGAGGGGTCTAGGCTTTGGAAGGACACAGTCTTTGGAGCAGTATTAGCACTGCGGGGCTTTCTAATCCAAGAATGAATTGAGAAATGGACCAAGGTGTGGATGCTCTCTCATATCACGACTTGTCTCATTTCTGGAGAAAAGGTATCTCTTGGGTTTTTGCTATCAGCATCCTCAATGAACCATTTTCACCTGTAGAAGGGTAAAGTAAAGCTCACAGACTGGAGGGGGCTTGGCCAAAGCCACATAGCTCCTGAAGGACAGAGGCAACAGACTTCCACACCTTCTAAATCCCCCGCCCCAAACTGACCTTGCCCCCGGTCCCAACATTTGGAAGTTTCATATACATTAATTACTCTGGCATATTTCTACCCTTTCATCGGGGTAGGATGCCAAACAGCTAGGAACATCCCTGGTGGGGAAGAAGACAGAATAATTTTAGAGATAAGTGTTAGTCGCATGAATAGAATACAACTTAGCAATAGTTGGAAGGGGTAGCTAGCCTATTGCTGAGAGTCACACTAACTAGGAGTCTTTGTTCTAACTGCTTATTTAAATTTCTACCAGAAAATCATTTATTTGGATTAAACATTTTAGTCTTTATATAGTCCTTTTAAATTACATTTTTAAGATTATTTTTGTTTGCATTCTTGTACAAGTTAGTGTGTGTGTGTGGGGGGGGGTATGCTTGCAGAGTCCAGAAGAGGGTGCTGGATCCCCTGGAGCTGCTGACTGTGAGCCACCGAATATGCTAAGAAGTAAACTCAAGTCCTCTAGAAAAGCTGTGGGTTCTTTTCCTGCTGAGCTATCTCTCCAGCTGCTCCTTTAAATTTTTTCTGTGTGTATGTATGTATGAGAGAGAGAGAATTGAATCTCTTGGAGCTGGAGTTACAGAAGATCGTGAACCACTGGATATGAGTGTTGGGAACAGAACCCAGGTGCCCCAAAAGAGGTCCTGTGAAAGTAACTTATTTACATCTTCATACAAATCAACATAATCAACACATTTGCTCATTTAACAGACACATATGGGGCAAACCCTTAGTTCCAAAGCCTGGAACCCCAAAGTGAGGTCCATACTGGAGAAACCGCATCTCTTAGGGGCTAGAGTCCATACAATAGAAACACAGGTACTACACTTTGTTGAGCATCCGTTCTGTTCCAGGCCCCAACAACTGAGCCCACTTTAATCCAGTTCCTCTCCTCATGCATTCTCTCCAGGTAGAGACGGTACATACCCTTCCAAAGTCACACAGCCAGAGCAGGTGAAGTTTGAGCATAGTGCGCTTCTGCCTGGTTCCCAAGCCCGAGCCTTTTCAAGGACGTCATCTGTGGCCTCCCAGACATGCACCAGGTGTGAATGGAGCCAAGCGAACGCAATGGGTTGAGATGAAGGAATGGAAAGAGTATGTCAGACAACATTTAGGGGTCGTGCCGGTGTTATAAGCCAAGGGACAATTTGGGGCCAAACGCACAGAAAGATGAAAGCATAATCTTTTTTTCCGGAAACCCTAAGTAGTCCGTCATGACTGAAGGCAAGAACTTGAAAGGAATCTGCTCACAAACGTAAGCTATGTAGGCAGGCAGGGGCCAGTTCTCCCAGGGTGCCGCTCACAGAATCTGGATTTTATCCTGAGCTTGGCACAAATCTTTGGCCCATGTTAAGCCTAAGAGCTTTGGCAAGGACACAGCTTTGAAGTCTGGGACTCCTGGAGCACAAGGCTTAGGAGCACCTGCCCTGGGGTCAGATCTGGATTCCATCCTGCTCCATGCTACAGAAGCTCATTAACTCTTCTCCTGCCTGCTGGAATGTAAGCTCTCTGAGGTCAGCACCCCAAATTCTTGATCTCTGCTGTAGGCACAAAAATCACTAGCATATAGTAGAAAGTTAGGGGAGACCAGTGAATGTTTCCCCAAACCTGTCTTTTTTTTTTTATCTGGACATATGTCACTAAGGTGACATTCCCACCCTTCTCTGCAGGTAGATGTGGTCATGCATTAAATTTTTCTGGTAGGATGTGGGGTGTGTGTGTGTGTGTGTGTGTGTGTGTGTGTGTGTGTGTGTGCATTGCCACACTTGCTTTTGGAGTTGCTTTTCTCCTTTACCTTACTTACTACAAGCTAGAAGACAAGCGCAGTCCTAGTCTGGCTTTGACCTTATAATGAGTGCAATTCTTTAGCAGATGGTAGAGCAGAAAAGCGGGTCCTAGATTCCAGAATAATCATCTATAGAGCTGAGCTACTGACCTCAGGACTGTCACACGTAGAACAAATGAAGTATGTTTGGTGAGTCGCAGCATTAAAGGGGACTTTATGCCACAGTGGCTTGTCTTTACTGTAAGTGACTCAGTGAGTGTCCCCCGAATGAAGTGTATACTCCTGTAATTGGTATTGGGGTTTTGTTTTGCTTGTCCAACATGACAACAGCACTCAAGTTTCTGTCTGTCTACTGTCTCCAAAGCTCCTAGATTGGTGTCAGGATCCTGTTGAAATGAACAAAAGGCAATAAACTCAATTTTGGCAGGACAAGTCTCCCTAGGCCTGTTTCCGTAGTCTGCTTTGCTAATGAGAGGATTGCCCGCCCTCTCCTCCACTCCCAATACTAGTGAGAGAGCTTAAGAAGTGTTTCAGGCTTTTGGATAAGAAGGAGCTGCTAACAGAAGAAAAAGTTGGAGGCGGCACCACCAAGGTAAAAGCCTCATGGCTGACACTGTGAAATTTCCAGAATTGCAGCTGGCAGAGCTCAAGCTTTGCCCTGCCACGGCTGAAAAGTCACAAGGGAGAAAGGGAACCCCTCTCTGTAGAGAGAAGCATGCCGGATATAGTAGGGCATCAAATTTAACAACACTGCCGTGCACATCCCCAAATCCTGTGCTGCTGAGAACTCGTTAGTGACATCGGATGTGACATATGGGAGGGTAATGGAGTCTGGAGCCTAGATTTCTGTAATTAACCAATAGCAATCAGGACGGAGGGCAATTCCAGGGGAACTGTAATTGTCTGGAAGTTTGGGGTGCCTGCAGGCTGAGCCGCAGGCCAGAAACCCAGCCAACTCTGTCCCCAGGAATCACAAAGAGCCAAGGTCATGGTTGCCATTTTAAAGGGGGCCCTTTCTTTGAAAGCTTGAGATCACAGCAGGTCGTGGCAGGTGAAAATTTCCTCTGTGATGTCAGCTGGCTGTTGGGGGTGGAGGGTAACTCCGGCAGCACCATGGAGTGAGCCAATTACCTGCCGGGGCTCCAGGGAGTAAATGGCACCAGCTCTGGGTGACCAGTGACCGCAGGCTGACAAGCCAATTTCAAATTCTCCCATTCGACAAGGACTTACTGTATAATTAGCATATACCAAGCTGGAGGCTGGGGCTAAATGTTTAGATTGCTTTTTTTTTCTTGCTTGCTTTTTCTGAGGCAGAGTCTTACTGGATTACTGTCCTGGCTGGCCTCAGATTCATGGCAGTCCTCCTGCCTCAGTCTCCCAGAAAGCATCTGTTGTTGGTGTGTGTTCATTGTGTGATATGGTAGGTTTGGGATTGGCATTTTTGTTCAAGCATTGGTCAAGTACCCTCAGCCCCCTTGCCCCACAGCAAACGGTTTGTACTTCATGGCCTGCCTGTGTGTGTAAAATCTAGGTTGGGCCACTGAGAAAATGCAATGACAGCTCTCTTCTAGAGTCTGGCTTATTTAGTTTAGTATGACGATCTCCAACCTTATCTGGTTCATGAAAATTACATTAGATGACATTTTCT